CCATCGCAAACTGGCATGTGGGGCTTGCACTTTGGTCCAGAACACACTGCACATAAGTACTGTCACAATGAAATTAGTAAGAAATAATTATCCAGGACTGGGTTCGTATGCACCCATTATTGTTGGCCAGTTTGCAACCCCAATGCAAGGATCTGATTTCAGATTTACATCTGGGAAATGTCGTTCTCGTAAGAGAGTGAACAATACATGCCAGGAGTGGAGAACTTGTGGTCCACTGCTGGACAATGACTCCAGTCATCCTTGACCACTGGTCCTGTTAGCGAGGGATGATGGGAATTGTAGTCCCAAAACAGCTGGAGAGCCAAGTTTGGCCCTGCTTGGTCTATATAAAGTCAGTTCCTGTGTTCCTCTCATGCTCAGGACTGAAACATATATATTGGTGGCAGATTCAAGCCAATCATGTTGGGAAAGTTTTTTAAGATAATTCTTATTTATTCCAATTTATTCTAAGAATGCTACAATTCTCAAGGAAATAGTGACTGAGGGAAGAGGAATAAAATGCTGAGGCAAACAACGTATTCTTGCTATCACTGGTTCTCGGTGTTGTTATTTTGATCAAAGCAATTACAAAATATAATCAAGCATGTTAGCATAAAACTAATTTTAAAAGCAGTACTACTTCACTTTCTAATATCCCTTGCTTTTTTTCTATCCAAGCAAACTGGGGAAAGCAGCTGTTTGGATCCCAAGAATACTAATTTTAAAAGCTGCCATTAGTCATAAAGCAACTGCAGGAACTTGCATAAGCTTTGCGGTAATGCTGTCACTGAAGAGCCATGTCAGAGATAAAACCAAATATTTCATTGAACAGTACGCTTGGCAGATTCGTAAGCATCTCTCCTTTGGGGAGGTTTCTAATCTGGCTTTTAAAGTCTACGCAGAAGCATAGGTTGGAAGGCAAAACCACCATTTTACCTCAGAGCTTTCAATTTGAACCCACCATTTTACCTCAGAATTTAGAGCTTATAACACAAAACCACCATTCTACCTCAGAATTATCGCAATCTTCATTGTTGTTGGCAGTTCTAACCAGTGGCGTAGCTGGGGGGGGGGCAGGGGAGCGCACTGGGCGCCACTCACCCAGCAGGCGACACTTACTGTGGGACCTGCAGCATGCCTGAGCCACATGTCTCTCCCAGGGGTGGTATGGTGGCTCAGGCACCTTTTCCAGTGGCGTGGGGCCCACGGTCACCCCCCGCCTCCCCTTCAGCCGCCCTGCAGGCTAGCTACGCCGCTGGTTCTAACTGATCTTATAATCAGAAGGGGGCGGGGGAGAACAAGCAGCAAATCTTTTATACAGTGGTACCTCAGGTTAAGTACTTAATTTGTCCCGGAGGTCCGTTCTTAACCTGAAACTGTTCTTAACCTGAAGCACCACTTTAGCTAATGGGGGCCTCCCGCTGCCGCCGCCCCGCTGGAGCCCGATTTCTGTTCTTATCCTGAAGCAAAGTTCTTAACCTGAAGCACTATTTCTGGGTTAGCGGGGTGTGTAACCTGAAGCGTATGTAACCTGAAGCATATGTAACCCGAGGTACCACTGTACAGGGAGATGAGAAGTACTAATCGTAATAATTTTATTGTTTAGCTATAAACCATAAGAAAGATGACTAGGGCCAGCTGTATCCTGAAGCAGATTAAGGCAACCCTGCCAAGTAATGTGTTTTTTAAAAATCCATACACTCGGGGAAGGTGTGCATGCAAATTCATAAAATAATGCACAAAAATGCATTAAATAAACAAGTGCTTTAGAAAAGTGTGTCTGTGAGGAAAACAACATCCAAACGTGTGTTTATTAGAAAAAATTCACACTAAAAAGCTGATAAACTTTCATTACGGCTCAGGGTGTGTGTGTCACAAACTGATGAAGAAACGTAGAGAACTTAATTTTAGATCTAGAAAAATGAGAAACCTGTATTGATAGATTCTCCCATTCCCAGTCTGACGTACCATTTAAAGGCAGAAATTTGTTCAAACCATTTCCACCCTGCTCTTTGTCTGAGAAGGTTCCCAGAATCGCTTACAAATCAGCACAGTCCCTACCTACCCCTCAGGCTCACAACCTGAATATAAAAAGGAGATGGGGAGAGAAAACAAGAAAACTCAGGCACCCAAATTCTCCATATTAAAATGCATTGAATCTTAACCATGTCTACTCACAGAAGGAAGCCCCCTTGCGTCCGATGGGGCTTACTCCCAGGTGAGAAGGGTTAGGATTGCAGCCAAGGTTCTTATAATAACCAGACGAGATCTGGAAATGGCCAAATATTTATCTTATAACATTGGGTTGAATCCAGAGGAGGGAAAGCCTTCTTGCATGTGGAAGGTGTCTTACACTCACCCAACAGCTGCTTTAGGCCTAATACCAGAGAATTGCATGAGAAAGTTGCTCTGCTTTATGAGATGTGAAACCAGCTACAGAACCTGATATTCAAATTGCCAGCACTTGAACAGGGGTAGCAAACGTTGTGCCCTCCTCATGTTGTGGACTGCAACTCCCATTATTTGCTATGCTGGCAGGTGATGATGGGAATTATCGTCTATGATATTGCTGGGTGAAATCCACTCTCAACTCTGAGGCCAGTGAAATATACTCAGAGTCGAGAGTGGATTTCATGCTCTTTATTCAGCTCATAGTGGTAAGGAGGAATGAATGTCCCCTCAAAGTATCTGCTTTATATACATTATTTACACAATGGGCTGCACATGATTGGTTAATTCCAGAATTCTCCTGTAGGCCAATCAGGTTGTGGATTCACTTCCATCTGAGCCGGATTGGGTGGCTCCTGCAGACCAATCATACTGCTGCATTGTTCTAGGACCAATCAGACTGCTGCATTTTGGATCCTATTCAACTCAGTACATAACAGTGGGGAAGCATTTGTTAAACCTGGGTTTGCAGGAGAGAATTAGCAACTGCTTTCCTTCAACTCACTGTTCCTTCTGTCCAACCCACGATATATTTAACCAGGGCAGGGGGAGTGCTGTGACATTTGGATCTGCCACCACAGGCAACAGAAAAGTCTTAATCTGACCTTGGATTTAGCTGTCTGTGGCCTTCCACAGATACGTGCGGCAAGGCTAACTTCTGCTTTGAAGGGGCTGTGGGCAAAGTATTCCCTCATTCTTCAGTGGCTCTGGAGGGTTTACCTGCTGGTAGCACCAGAAGCACTGTGTTGGGAGTCTGAGCCTAGTCGCCATTTTAATTTCCCACAATGCCTCAGAGCAACAGCATGCCAGGGGAAGTGAAATTGTGTGACGTTAAAAATGACCGCCTGGCTTAGCCGCCCAGTGCTTGTTCACAGCGCTGGGCTAGCAAAAAAAAATTAAAAAAAATGGAAGTGGGCACCAGGGGTGGGTCCTGTCAGCTGCGTAAGGGTGCCAGGTGCTGACCCCAGCCCTGCTATATGGGACTAGTGGGCAGGGGCGGACAAAGGGGGGTGCGGTGGGTGTGAACCGCCCCAGGTGTCACCACTGAGGGGGGCGACAAATTGCTGGGCAGCACTCACTGCGGGGCCTGCAGCACGCCCGAGCCACGCATCTCTCCTGGGAAAGACGCGATGGCTTGGGCGTGCGCAGGCTCCACGCTGCCCAAACGGTCCACTTGCTGCCTATTAAGTTGTGGGTGAACATATCAGACGACACAGCGATTCTTCACACAGCTCTTGTTTATTCACAGGCCAGAACAGAACTGAACTGAAGGGTTCAGCCAGCCTGCTTATATAGAGCTCCACTAGAACGCAACAGTAACCATTTTCTGTAACTATCCAATCACTTTCGATCCCTTATTTGCATATGTGGACCTGAACTATCTACAGTATCCCCCTGCTGGCCCAGGGTGAGAACTTCAGTACATAACAGCGCCTCTCCCCCCCAGCTGTAGGGTGGCTGAGTGGGAGGAGGCAAGCACAGCTCCTTGCAAGCCTATTGTACACGTCTGGACTCTAGACAGAGTTTTATCCAACACAGTGAGCTGACTTCTGCCACGTCAGGCTATTTGTCCGCCTAGCACAACACTGTCTTCTCTGACTGGGGTCTCTCCAGGGTCTCAGGCGAAAGGTCTTTGCCTGCTCCCAGGTCCTTTTGACTAGAGGCACCAAGGATTGAACGTGGGACCTTCTAAGTTATGGCCAACTTCAGAAATCTAATCTCCATAGCATTTAAATGTCTGCCACTCAGGCCCCTAAAGATATCCCACATTGGGCAGCTTTCCTCGGCCTGCCTCTTGTTCCTACTCACGTAAAAGCTGGGGAATAGCTGCTGCTAGGTGTAGATGAATCTGTCGATTTTGGTTTTCTCGGTTTCTTATCTTTCCCATCATAAATCCAGTTTTCCACATCGCAATTTTAAAACACCACACATGAAAATTCACCAGCTTTTTTGGTATGCATTCTGTATTTTTTCAAACACAATTTACTAATACAATGCCTTTTTGTATACCATTTCCCCTAATATATGCACTCAAATGCACACTTTGCCCTAGTTTATGCGTTTCTGTGCACATTACTTAGGCTGGAGAACTGCTCTGCAAAATCTAAAAAAAGTGAGAATTTCCAAGGGTGGCTGGTGTGTTTCAGAAAGCACTAAGCGGGCAAGTTCGCCTTTAGGCGTGATTTAAATCAGATTTCTCCTCCTTCACCCCTAGATGCTGCTATTCGCAATTGCTACTCAGCGATTTGTTATTAGTTATTTTAAGGACTGTGTTATTTTTATGCATTCTTTTTATCTAATATGGTTTTGCTGTAAACTGCCTTGTGGCTTGTAAAAAAAAAGGCGGAATGTAAGTCGTCTAAAGGAAGGATGGGAACAGCAACAACAAAAATTGCCTTTCCTATTACAGCTGCCTTTGATTCGAACACCAGCAACACGCTAGAGCGCACAGCCCCTCTCAGCGACTTGCTGGGATTTCCCCCTTTCGTCCGTAGGATTAATCCATCATCCTATTGACAAGCAGCTGCTGAGACTGCAACAGCCTCGCCTACCTGTAGATGGGCACAGATGGCGGTCACTGTGAACCAGGTGATCTCCCACGAGAGTCCTGTGGACTTGGCATAAGCCATTTTCCTCTTGCACCTTTAAGGGGGGGGGGAGAGAGGCTGTAAGCAAAAGAAGAAGGGAAAAAGTCAATGCACCCCGCCAGAATCTGAATGACTAAAGCAAACTGGGCAGTGAATACAACCCGGACTTTGGAAACGGTGCAACCATAACAGCCGAGGTTTGTGCTGGCCAGGAAAGCAGACTCACAGAGAACAGCATGATCGCAGCGTGGAGGCTGAGGTACTCCAATAAGGGCAGGAGGGTGGGGGAGCTGGCCAGAGGAGCAAAAGCGAGCTAGGTTTTTCTCTCGCTCACGAGTCAGTTTATCAAGCCTGCAACCTCCTTCCCCGTTATCCCCCCCCCCTCCATTACCATATACGCACACAGGAGCCAAGAAGAAATTGAACCTTGCAAAGCTATTTCAACACTCTTCCTTTTTTTCCCCTGCCCTGCTTCCCAAGCCAAGGAACCCAACTCTGGGACTTTGGGATCCGTAACGCTTCCAGCCGTGTTGGCTACTCAGCCCCGTGGCAGAAAAGCGACAATCCTCACTCGCTTTGGGGAGGGGCCCTGCCGATTCGTGGATTAGAATACGAGGACTGTTAACTGTTTCCATGTAAAGGACAACGTTGAACCGCCGTCCCTGCGGCACGGAAAAGCTCTTTGTGTGTAAAATCTCCGCAGATTTGAAACCGCACACAGGGGCTACTGGTTTTTACTGTCGCTTTCTTTCATCCAGGCTATTACTGCAATATGATAAAAGTTGGCCAACTTATCTGGCAACCACCCATGTTCTCAAGACCACAGGGTTTGCAATATCCCTGAGAAGAAGAAACACCATCTCCATGGGAAATCTTGGGCACCTAATTCTGTCAGCCTTCACTGGGGACAAATCACTCCTCCCAAGAAAAATCTCATCCGTCCTCTCACCTTCAGCCAGAATGGGGCCCTCGGGCTGAAAAATGTCCCCCACCCCCCCAGACTTGGACCAGCGAGAGCCAGGTACAAATCACCATTCAGCCATTAAACTTTACTGAGTTGAGGACTCTCAGCCCAAGCTACTTCACAGGGTTGTTTTGAAGATAAAACTCAGCTCCTGAGTATGTCACTCTGAGCTCCTTGTGAGGGGGGGGGGAGGATATAAATGCAATAAATAATGGACGCAACAAGATCAAATTATCCTAAACAGGTCAAGGGAAGCAAGGCTATAGTCATTTGTGCTCTAGTAAACTCTTGCTTAGACTACTGCAATGTGCTCTACTTGGGGCTGCTCTTGAAGACTGTTTGGGTGGATCCAATGGCTCAAAATCATACAACAGTCCTAAAAGACCTGTACTTACTGCCAATTTGTCACCAAGTCCAATTCAAGGTTTGGTTCTGTTATGCAAAGCCCTGAAAAGCCTGGCATTTGGCTACATGAAGGACGCATTTCTCTCCGACTACTGTCCTGCACGTAGTCTGAGATCCACTCAGGGGTCCTTTTAGTAGTTCCATCATTCAGCAAAATTCAGGGGTCTGTGACCTGCAAGAGGACTTCCTCTGTAACAGCACCAAAGTTATGGAACAAGCATCTCCTAAAGATCCAGCTGGCATCAATGTTGTTCCTTTTTTGACACCAGCTGAACACTTTCAGTTTGTATCCATCATCAATACTCAAAGAGTAAACTTGCTGACATTAATGGACCTGATTTAGGATTGTCAATTTTAATGGATCTACTCTGAGCAAAACTCAGTTGGATACAGGCCTTTTGTGTCAAACATTTTGACTGATCTGCATAACCGGCCGGTGTTATATAATATGTTAACAGGTGGTTGGAATTTAGTGATTTGCTGCTGTTTTATTGGCTTGTGATTGATGCTTTAATATTGCAACCCACCCCAAGGTCACGTGAGAAGGAATTATTTTTGAAAATAAAATACAATAAATGTGACTACATTAAAGAGGCTGCCAGATCCATCTCTCCAAGGCTCTCTCTTCGCCACCCAGTTAAAGCAACACCTGTTCCTCCAATAGCTGCCCCTCCCACATGCACACACACATGCCAGTCTCAAAGATATCTCAGCACAGGAACAGATCTTTCCTGCCGAGCATATTGATAGTGCTATAGCCTATTTCCAAATAAGGGTTTCTAAAACGATGCCGGAATAGTGTTTAGATCTGCAGGGCGGTTATACGGCCCTCCCTGCCATGCTCTCAGGCACTGTGTCTGTACAGCCTGCCTGCACTCAACAAACACTGTGTAGAGATTTCAATTTTTTGTTCCTCCAGAGAAAGTGTATTTTCAAACCCAGAACCCACTTTTAACCCAAACATGCATTTGGGGACCCTTTTTCCTTAATCTTTTACCCTATATTTGCGGGGTGGTAGCGCTCTTGCAGGAACCCATCTCGGATCAGGCCGCAACCCATCGGCCAAAGAGCAGAGCTCTGGAGCCCATCCTCTGCACTCCCTTCCGAAAACATCCCACCACCTGTTTCAGCCCATGTGAAAAGGTTGGCTGTCCAAATCCCAGAATGAAACCTGGGGGCAAAGCAGACATTTGCCCTGGAGTGGTGAGCGAGGCTGAGTGTGCGCCTCTCAAAAAGCTGCCAAGTCCCTTGTCGGCACCACTGAGCAAGCTGGCCAAGAGAGAACACCACCCTTTCCTTCATCCCAGGCATGTCCAAAGTCTGATTCGGGGGCCTAATCCAGCCCCTGTAGCAGTCTATCTTCTGGGGTAAAATCCTTTAAAAAGCTCATCAACTTTGGCCGGCCCTCACACATGTTCACTTCATCAAATCTGACCCTCTTTGAAAAATGTTTAGGCACCCCTGCCTCATCCCATAGGTCAGACCACAAATAAACAAACAAACACACACACACCTTTCCAGAAACTTGCTCTCCTTAAGTCATAGCTGTCAACGTTTTCCCCCTTTTTAAGGGACATTCCCTTATTCCGAATAGGATTCCTCACAAGAAAAGGGAAAAGTTAACAGCTATGCCTTAAGTTCTTAAATTAATGGGGAAACTAGCTGCAGCTGCCCAGGGTTGATGGAGGGGTCTCTGTGCATGCTCAGAGACACCTTGCTTACCAAGTGCCCATCCAGGGTCCCACTCAGAGCCCCGCGCTAAATACCCTCTCAGGGTACAAGTGGAGCCCCCCGCGCGCCCCTCTTTTCGCGAGAGCGCCCTCTCACCAGCACCCCGCGCGCGCCTGTCTTGGGTGCAACTTCGGCGCAGCGCGCGCGCTTTGGGGATACCTTTGGTCAACTTCGGGGCGCAAATCCCTGCGGCGTGGCCACCACCTCGCGCGACGGCGTTTTCCCTCTCCCTCTCCTCCTCAGGGGGAAGGGAGCAGGCGTGGACTCGGCGGCGGAGGCAGCAAGGCGAAGCCTCTCCTCCTGTCAAAGCACCAGGGACGCCGACGCCGCATGCTTGCAAAGCGGAGCTGGCAGGCGAACAAGCGCCCGCCCTTCGAGCTTGGCTGGCTCTCTCCCTCCAGGCTCCTCCAGCCCACAAGCCCCGCCAGACCGACTTAGCCGAGGGCCTCGGAGGAAGTGGCGGAGAGAGCGAGGGCGCCGGCGCCGCCGCCACCGCCGCCTCCTCCTCCCGCAGGGCAGCCCAAGCAGCGCGCAAGGCCAGGCGACGGCGCACGTCTCTGGGAGCTCCCGCGCCGCCACCTGCTCCGCCGCGCGCGCCCTGCAGGCAAAAGGCGCCTCGACGCGGGAAGGGGAGAGCCAATGGGATGCAAGGAGCGGGGGGAGAGTGCCTCTGAGCTCGTACAGAGTGCCTTTCTTTCATTCACGCACACCACTTGGCAAAACCACCCAGATAGCCTGGGTATTATTATTATTATTATTAATCAATCAACCTAATCCTATTGAGAGGGTTTGGGGCGATGCTCGGCGTTCTCCAAAAAGGCATGAACTTCTTTTTTTATACAAAACCTTACGGACTTGCAGTTTTAAGCCCAAAAGGTCTTCTACAACTTAGGTGGTTGGAAAGGCGAGGCTGCAGACAGCGATCAGGAGGAGGACCCGTTGCAGGCAAAAGCCAACTTGCACCGTTACAAAAGCAGCCTTGACAGTTCCTTACATGCCGCCCCTTAGCACTCTCCCTAGTTAGCACTTTTTCATGGAAGCATGCCTAAAATTGCAGCCACGGCGAAGCATTCCCAAAATCGCCCTTCGATGGGCGGTGTGCAGCGTAAATGTAATAAGAGCAACATCACTGAGTGAGAGGCAGCAATAGTTATTCAAATCAGGCGGCCGCAATGTAGCCCTTTGAAATGCCTGCGCACAAGTGAAGCCAAGCAGCTCAATCCGACGCACGCCTTTTGCTCGGAAGTGAAGTCCCACTGTGTTCAACGAAGCTTAGCTCCTAATAAACGTGTCTAGGATTGCAGCCTCGCCCTCGCTACATTTACCTGGGCGTAGGCCCCAGTGAACGCAGTAGGACTTGCTTCCGAGTAAACATACTTCGGGCTGAGGCTGTGAAATTCTGCTTTGCACGTTTCTGGCCTCTCCATACGGATACTTGAAACCCAGTGAACACAATGGTACCTACTCCGGATTAAAGTGCTCAGGATTGCAGCCCTTATAAATGCCCCCCACGTGTTCTATCAATATATATATATATCAATTGGATATATATCCAATTTCTGAGGCTGATTCGTTACTATATAGACGTCAACCGGATGGGTGCAATATCAAATCACTATTTGCATGTGTAAATAAACTGTCTCACCTCTTACATCGAAAACGGAGCTCTGGTTCCGTTTACCATACACCCAGTGCTTGCCGCAGTCAGTTCACACGTTCAGCTGCCCCCTCTCAAATATACCGTAATCAAACAGAGAGAAATCAAATTCTATGTACTTGCATTCTATCATTTCCACCTCAAAAACAGGGAAGCATTGCGGAAGCGGAATTGTATACCTTCCCGGGCTGGTATTATGTCAAACGTATAATTAACTGGGGGCCAGCTACTCTTTTTCCAAATGGCTAATTTTACGACCCGGGCTTGAGGATGCTTGCGCGCCACGTGGATTACGTGCAGCCTCCCCTATAGCACATGAGAATGCGCGAAGGAACTCGACCGAGAAACCGAAGGCACATTCTGGCCGATGAAAGGTTTACGTTTGCGTTAAAGCATCGCCTTAAGGAAGCTAGTATAAAATTGTCACGTGTGAATGCAAGTAGGTTGACCGGGATTCTCATAACTGTTTAGCATTCGAAAGGATCATCTTATCACGAAGAAAACTTATTAAGGGTAACTACTCCTTACCTGCCGCCGCCAGGGATGCGAGTCGTTTAGGAGAGGGAGGAGCAAACTTTCCTCCTCTCTACTGCATCAAAGGCAGCACAGAAGAGTCGGCGTCGCCCGTTGAGAAATACAGGCTTGCAAACTGATGCTTAAACTTTAGCCTTCCTTTGCAGGGCAAGCGGCGCCTTTACGCAAACCCCGTGCGCAGCCATAGATCTCCACGCGTCCTCCTCTCCTTCGAGGTGCGGTTACATCTCAAACCTCGCCGCTTTCCTTATGCAGTGAACCCACCTCCTCGGGGAAATGTGTCCCCTTTTTGCTGGCAGATAACTCAATAGTGGGCTAAAGGAAAGCCTGGAATGGTCACAGAATCAACAGAAAGCCAAAATGACTTGCTATTCCATCCGTGCCACTGAAGTTAAAAATACGCACCGAGGAACTAAACATAACCTCGTGAAAGGGTTTGCTGAAATGTGATTGCGCGGTTTCCAACCTGTTGAAAATCAACTTGGATTTCTTCTATAGCTGGGAACGGCGCGCCCTCTAGTGGAAAATCTAGTAGAAGATACAGTACAGAGGAGGATATGCGTACAGCACTTATTTGTACAAAACTAAACAAGAAGAACTGTACTGTCTTATAATCTTGCCTTTGTCCGGTTGCACGTTAATGAGAGAACCAACCCGGTAAAAAGAATCTTGTCGCACAATCTATTGCACATCTCCTCAGAAGTAACACCTACTGAGTTCAATCGGCCTTATTCCCAGGAAAGTAGAGTTACTTATCTGGGAGTAAGTCCCCTTGGCTGCGTTGTCAGTCTTTGAGCTAATTGAATTAAACAGTTCAATCCACATAAATTTACATTGGAGCAAAACAGTAGTTCTGAAGGGAGCAAAAAAAGAAAAAAGCAGAGTTATAGCCAGTTGATAAATCACTTAAATGTTACTAGCCAAATTTTGGACACTTGTAAGTCAAAAGACCCTTTAATGTATCTTAGAATTGTTCCAATGGCTCCCAAAACATTGTTGTACAAGCTACGGCTATCTTTATATTAGGGAAAGGATGTACTAAGCTCTTAAAGTATGTATTGTATACCTCTCATCTCTCTGTGGGAGGCTGGTTGTATTGCTCCTGTTGAATCCACCCACTCATGTAAATCTGGCCTTTTGGGAACCAGCTAATTATTAAGTCCTGGTGATACAGAATACAATGCATAGGAAAAGAGGGAAGCCCACACAAACCTTTGAAAACAGAGCAGGTACAAAGCGGGGGGGGGGGGTTAAAAGGCTGCTTATACGCTGGAAATAATAGGGCCCTGAAAGTGTGTTCCTCCAGTGAGAATCCTGGTTTTGTTTTTTTTAAAGAAAGCTTGCATTGGAAGCAAATCTTTTGCATCTATTTTCTGCAGCTACTGATTAACAAGCACGATCAAGTCAGGTTCTGCAAGCAGAGACTGACTGGGTTTGTGGCTCTGTAAGGGTTGACGGGTGACGCAGGTGGCGCTGTGGGTTAAACTACAGAGCCTAGGACTTGCCGATCAGAAGGTCGGCGGTTCGAATCCCCGCGACGGGGTGAGCTCCCGTTGCTCAGTCCCGGCTCCTGCCAACCTAGCAGTTCGAAAGCACCTCAAAGTGCAAGTAGATAAATAGGCTGGAAGGTAAACGGTGTTTCCGTGCGCTAGCGGCTTAGTCATGCTGGCCACATGACCCGGAAGCTGCATGCCAGCTCCCTCGGCCAATAAAGCGAGATGAGCGCCGCAACCCCAGAGTCGACCACGACTGGACCTAATGGTCAGGGGTCCCTTTACCTTTAAGGGATTTGAACCCAGGTCTCCCAGGTCCTAGCCCAACACTCTAACCACAGCATCACACAGAGAACACAACAGTTCCTCCCCTACAAAAGGGCCAGGCAAGGGGGCAGTTTGGACCAATTACAATGTATGTGGAAGGGTCATAGCTCAGTGGTGGAACATCTGCTTTGCCTGAAGAAGGTCCAGGTTCAACTCCCTGTGTCTCCACGTACATAGGAAGCTGCCTTGTACTGAGTTAAGCCCATCTAGCTCAATAATGTCTACACGGACTGGCAGCAATTTTCCAGGATTTCAGACAGGGATATCTGAAGATGCTGGTGACTGAAGCTGGGACCTTTTCAAGGCATAGCCCTTGTTCCACCACTGAACTATGGCCCTTGCCCTGGCAGAGCCTCCTGCCTGAAATCCTGGACAACCGCTGTGTTGTGTACTGAGTTGAATAGGATCCAAAATGCAGCAGTCTGATTGGTCCTAGAATAATAGGATTCAGAATGCAGCAGTCTGATTGGTCCTAGAATAATAGGATTCAGAATGCAGCAGTCTGATTGGTCTGCAGGAGCCACCCAACCCAACTCCAGGTGGAAGTGAATCTGCAACCTGATTGGCCTACAGGAGAATCCCAGAATTAGTCAATCACATGGGACCCATTGTGTAAATAATGTACAGTGGTACCTCAGGTTAAGTACTTAATTCGTTACGGAGGTCTGTTCTTAACCTGAAACTGTACTTAACCTGAAGCACCACTTTAGCTAATGGGGCCTCCTGCCGCCGCTGGAGCCTGATTTCTGTTCTCATCCTGAAGTAAAGTTCTTAACCTGAGGTACTATTTCTGGGTTAGCGGAGTCTGTAACCTGAACCGTATGTAACCCGAGGTACCACTGTATATAAAGCAGACATTTCGGGGGAACTGGCATTCCTCACTACTGAGCTGAATAAAGAGCATGAAATCCACACTCGACTCTGAGTATATTTCACGCTGCCAGTCAGTGCAGGTAATACTGAACCAGTGGCTATGTGGCCCCACTTCCTGCAAGGCAGCTTACTATTTCCCCTGTGTTCAGACGTTGCTTTCCCTTTCTCTGGCTGAAGGGTCCTTGTCCTCAGAAGATCATTGCATGCCATACCGGGGTAAAGGTGTCTTCTGTTTGACCCCGTGTCTCACCACCAAAGAAACACAAATGAACAGCAGAGAACCTGCACGAGCAACGCTGACACCAAACCCTACATATATTAAGCAAAATAGAAACATCGCCACCTGACCCCCCCCATCTCCCCCCCCCCAATGTCTCAACAAATGAAACTGATTTGTAAAAATGCTACACGGAAAAAATACGAGAGACATTACACATACTTCTGTAAAACAAGAAAATCTTTAATAATAATATAAAAGTAGATCATTGCATGCCCCCCCCGTCTCTTCTATTTTTACAGATATGCATGAATCAGCAAGCGACGTTTTCTGATAACTGCAGCTGCGGATCAAAACTGTCCTTAAAGGAGCAGCTCCAGTTGAACCCGGCCCAGTCCTCATCTCCTAAAATATAGGCGATTGCCATCCTAACCCTGTTGACCGGAGAATAAGCCCCCGCTGCATCCAAGAAGGCTCACCTCTGAACACCCCCCACCCTCCCGCTACCCAGCAAAGTTATGAATGAGCAGACCGAGGAAGACCACGCTCCTTTCCCCGGGGCTCGCCTTCCTTTTGCTGCGCGCTGATTGGACAGAACGGGAAGCAGCGAGAGTTCTTGGAACGCCGAGGAAGAGCGAGGCGGGGGAGCGGTTTGGGATGGACGCGGGGCACAGATGTTGAATGAATAAGTCCTGCAAGGGTTGCCCGGATGCCCTTAGATAGAGGATCCACTCACTGCCCCCCTTCTCTCTTTCAGGCTCTGGGCAGCCCCGCCCCCTCCTTTCTGTCCCCTCCAAAGCACAGAAACCACAAGACAATTCTCCTTGCGGTCGCTACCAGCGTTCATAATCGATATATAGCATTGTTTTCGCAAGCGCCTTAGGCGTTGATCGTGCACCTTTATTTTGTTAGAGGGTTGTTGTTTTTTTGCATAGCTGTCAACCTTCTTTTTTTTTTTTTTTTTTTGCGGGAAATTCCCTTACTTCAGCGCCGCTTCCCGCTGGTATCCCGGATTGTTAGATATCCCATAGACTGTCTGCGGGATATCTAACAGTTGACAGCTAAACTGCTGATTCCTTATTTTAGAGGCTGCTGATCCGTTATTTTCAAATCTGAAAGTTGATAGCTTTGGTTTTTTCTTCTGGCGGCAGACGACAGAACCACGAGACCGGTGCAAAACACTCAAATGTTTTATTACAGCTATACAAAAACAACAAAACACAAAGCTTTTGGATGTCCTCTTTCTGCAGGCAAATTCAAACTGCAATTTCTTCTTTTGTAGTCATCACCAGCTATACCTAATCAGCCTAGAAAACAGAAACACTTCTTAAAGTTAAAATCAGCTTTTCTGCTTCTTTGCAGAATGAGTCCCAACATATTTACCCCCACGCCCTTCCTGCAAAGCGCGGCAGCGCATATATAGCCTTGGCCCAATTCTTTTTCCTCTGCTTAACGCCAGGAGAGGGGTGTGTGTGGTTCGGCCGCCGCTTGCAAGAGTGCGCGGCGAGGTGGTCCCTGCAGCTCGGATGGCTTCGCCGGACAGCGGCCTGGGCGACGACAGCTTCTCTTCCCCGCTCCTGCCCGCCCCGCCGAGCATCCTGCAGCAGGAGCTGCGCCAGCTGAATGACCGCCTAGCCGCCTACCTACCGCACGTCCGCGGCCTGGAAGCCACCAGGACGGCGCTGCAGCTCCGCCTGTCCGCATCCGAGGAGGGCAGGCGCCGCGAGGTCGGCGTCTTACGGAGGGCTTACGAGAGGGAGCTGGCCGCAGTGCGCGAGGAGCTCCACGGGCAAGTCCGGCAGCGCGCCGGTCTGCAGGTGGAGCTGGAGACCCTCCTCGAAAAGCACAGGCAGCTGCTCGCCAGGTGAGTGTCCCTAGAGGGCGCGCCTTCCTTCTTCCTGGATCTCGCTCTCTTCTTAAAGCAATGGCTCTTCTTAGTCCATAGATTTCAAGTTTTCTGAAGTTAAAGGGGTTCATGGGTGGAGTCGGTGAGGGGGCAGTCGCCCCCCTCCTAAATCAAGTAATTAAATAAAAATACTTAACTAAAAGTAGAAATTGTAATAATAATGTAATAATAATAGTAGTAATAATTCATTATTCGTACCCCGCCCATCTGGCTGGGTTTCCCACACTGGGGAGCTAATAATAATAATAATAATAATAATAATAATACCTTTATTGTCAGCGTACAACCTATGTACAATGAAATTAACTGAGCCTCCCTCCCCACCCCACAAACACTCAATCTCATTGCACTCTGTGTGCTTGTCGCACAACACACCAACACCAAAAGTCAGTTGCACTATACAGTCATACCTCGGGTTGAAGTAGCTTCGGGATGAATATTTCCGGGTTGCGCTCCGCAGTGACCCGGAAGTAACAGAGCGCATTACTTCCGGGTTTCGCCACTTGCGCATGCGCAGACGTTCAAAATGATGTCACGCGCATGCACAGAAGCGCCAAATCATGACCCACAGACGCGTGGACATGGGTTACATTTGCTTCTGCATGCAAACGGGGCTCCGGAATAGATCCCATTTGCATCCAGAGGTACCACTGTGTTATTTTCCATTTAGCAGCCTAACAACCCACGGATAGAATATTAAAAACATCAAACATTAAAAGCATCCCTAAATAGGGCTGCCTTCAGATGTCTTCTGAAAGCCAGATAGTTGTTTATTTCCTTGACGTGTGATGGGAGGGTGTTCCACAGGGCGGGTGCCGCTACCAAGAAGGCCCTCTGCCTGGTTCCCTGTTACCTCACTTCTCGCAATGAGGGAACCGCCAGAAGGCCCTCGGCGCTGGACCTCAGTGTCCGGGCTGAACGATGGGGGTGGAGACGCTCCTTCAGATATACTGGACCGAGGCCGTTTAGGGCTTTAAAGGTCAGCACCAACACTTTGAATTGTGCTCGGAAACGTACTGGGAGCCAATGTAGGTTTTTCAGGACTGGTGTTATGTGGTCTCGGAGGCCCCTCCCAAAATCCAAAAGATTTTGACAGATTGTTCTGAGCACTTAGGATTCAAAGGAAAGTAATTTAAAAGAACTGTTGTTGAGACATCTCATTCCGAATCTGCAAGACAGAGCCAGACAAAGGATAATGTCAGGTGGTGGCTACCTGCCTGCCTCCTAATATAAATCCTCGCTATGCCCATGGATTTGTGTTTTTATTGTGTGGTCTCTTTCTTGCTCTGAACTACTATAGGATGAAGGCTGGGGCATATAGACCCATAGAATGGTAGAGTTGGAAGGGGTCCCAGGGTCATCTAGTCCAACCCCCTGCAATGCAGGAATCTCGACTAGATCAGGTGGCTCTCCATCTTTCACTCTCCCTCCTAGCAATAGAGCTTGTGATGTCCAAATTTGATTCAGAAATGCTAAAAGCCATACCTGTTGAGATGCAAAGCCTCCTGTTTACACTTGCAACCTGCTTGTTCCCAGGAATTCTAAAAATGAGAATGATTTAAGCCTGGCAGTCGCTCGTGTGAAGGACCTTGATGCTCAGCTCCACTGCAAAGAGGCCGAATTGACGACATCCTTGAGTAGACAGCAAAGCCTGCAGAACCATCTTCAAGAGTCAGCGCGTGAAATCAGCTCTGTAAGGGTTTTTCTGCAAGATCTAAACTGTCCTGCTGAAACGAAGAAGGTTGTTAAGAGATATTCGGGTCACAAGTAAAATGTTCTGTTATTTTTGGGTGTATTTTGAGAGGTGAGAAGTTCCAGGGGCAACAGGGCTTACCTGGATTCGGAAGGTCACTGGAGGCTTATGGAGCCTTGTGATATTTAAGGTCACTGCAGTGGCATTCACCTGATGTCCCCTCCACAACTGATAGGAGCTTTGTTTTTATCTCCTCCTATATTGTGGTCTAGGGACGCGGGTGGCGCTGTGGGTAAAAGCCTCAGCGCCTAGGGCTTGCTGATCGAAAGGTCGGTGGTTCGAATCCCCGCGGCGGGGTGCGCTCCCGTTGTTCGGTCCCAGCGCCTGCCAACCTAGCAGTTCGAAAGCACTCCCGGGTGCAAGTAGATAAATAGGGACCGCTTACTAGCGGGAAGGTAAACGGCGTTCCGTGTGCGGCTCTGGCTCGCCAGAGCAGCGGTGTCACGCTGGCCACGTGACCCGGAAGTGTCTCCGGACAGCGCTGGCCCCTGGCCTCTTGAGTGAGATGGGCGCACAACCCTAGAGTCTGGCAAGACTGGCCCGTACGGGCAGGGGTACCTTTACCTTTACCTTATATTGTGGTCTGGGACGCGGGTGGCGCTGTGGCTTAAACCACAGAGCTTAGGACTTGCCAATCAGAAGGTTGGCGGTTCGAATCCCCGCAACAGGGTGAGCTCCCATTGCTCGGTCCCTGCTCCTGCCAGCCTAGCAGTTCGAAAGAACGTAAAAGTACAAGTAGATAAATAGGTACCGCTCCGGCGGGAAGGTAAACGGCGTTTCCGTGCACGGCTCTGGTTCGCCAGAAGCGGCTTAGTCATGCTGGCCACGTGACCCGGAAGCTGTACGCCGGCTCCCTCGGCCAATAAAGCGAGATGAGCGCTGCAACCCCAGAGTCGGTCACCACTGGACCTAATGGTCAGGGGTCCCTTTACCTTTACCTTTATATTGTGGTCCCAATGAAATTTACCCCCTGGAAGCTGCTCCCCCCCCCCCAGAAGTGAAGTTGCTACTGAGTCCGATAGCAGTTTCCAAACTTGGATGGGAAGGGGCTCTCACCATGATTTCACGCAAAGTTACAGCCCTGTAATGGCACATCTAAAAATGTACACTCTGGCTGGGTACAGAACATGCATTTAAAGCACAGTTCCTCCCTGCTCCCAAAGAACCTTGGGAACTGTAGTTTAAGGGTGCTGGGAATGGTAGCTCGGTGAAAGGTAAACCAGGATTTTTTGAGTGGTGGGGCAAGTGTATGGTCTGAATGCATCCTAAGACTCGGTTCATGCAGGACAATCGGCAGAGCTTTGGGCTGCTTTCTTAGCCCATGTGAATTGAGAGCATAGCCTGGAATACATATTGATCCTCTGCAGCTGTTGTAGCAAAAGGCAGGGTTTCAATAAAGCCTCGCATTCGGTTCTTAAGTTGTCAGAATATCTTGAACTGGCCAAATTTACCGGTTTAATAAGAAATTATTCTCGTGAGAAAATAAGGAGAGAGTGGTAAGCCTTTATAAATTATATGAAGAGAACTGATTCCCAGATCCATACTTGGTTTAGCTTAAAATAAAAGTCTCAGAGGTAATTAGAATATTTCTCCACAAATTTAATCATTACAGACAACCAGTGATATGAGGAATAAAGATCCACATGGAGTTAGTTGGAAGTCACTTTTTTTTCTTTTTCTTTCTTTCTTTCTTTCTTTCTTCTTCTTTTGGGGGGTATTATTTTTCATTCTTTTTTCTTTTTTAAAGGAGAATATAATGTTTTATATTTTCAATGGTAGTTTATGTTATTATGTTTATATCCTTGTAAATTTATTTTTGTATTTTCTTCTGTTTTTGTATTATTTTCTTTGTTTTATTCAATGCATGTTTGTATGATGTATAAGGGTTTTTTATTTTTTTTAAAAAAGCCTCGCATTCGCTGGGACATAGTCTGAAAGCTATGGCCTAACCAGTGCTTTTTTCCCAGCCGGAACTTGCCAAAAATAAGTTTCGGCACCTCTCAGGTGGGCACCATTGCCATTATAAGAGAACAAGGGAGGTGTTCATGGCGAGTTCCGGCACCTCTTTTTCTAGAAAAATAGCACTGGGCCTTACACAAAGTCTGCACTTTCAGAAATCCAAAAAAGAAAGGCAGATGTACGCAGATGCACAACTGATCCATTAACCTATGTTGCTCTCTGTGTCCACACCAGTCTATCTTGTGTTCCATTGTTTGACTTTTTAACTAGTGGTATGTTTGCTTGGTGAACAATAGTATGTTATATGCCTAAGAACAATAACATTGCACAATATAAAACCTGCAGTTAATAAGAGTAACGTAACCCCACTTGCAGGCTTGTAATCTAAATGAACGTGAGGCAAAGGGAAGGGAGTATGAGAAGATCAGTTTCGAGTTCTGTTAAAACATGTTGCCTTCCCAAGGTTCTGCTACTTTTGGGCTTATTAAACACTGTAGCTGAACAGGAGTCTTGGAAGTATTTAAGGGTAGCACAAAGCATTTGCTAATTTTCTCCTTTCCTAGCTCAAGGTAATGGTCAATGATTCCAAAAGCCGTCTTCAAAATGAGATGTTGAATAGAACAGCTATAGAAAACCAAATGGAAACCCTGAAGAAACAAGTGACATTTCTAAAGAACATCCATGAAGACGTACGTACTTCTGCAGTCTTAGACTTCCTTAATTCCAGCTGCTGTTTAATTTAAAATTAAGGTCCATAACTTGGTGAAATAGTTTAATTTTTGCGACTCCATTAGGGGAGGGCCAAAAATGATGGTAACCCTGGGTTACTGTGTTTTATTCTTCCTATTTTGCCCCTCTCCTAGCATGAATGGGATAAACAAACCAAAGAGCATTGGCTTCCTGTTGTATCTGAACCAGGGTTCATGGTTTGTTGCTCTCTAATAAGCAGTGATCAGTAACTCTGGAGAAATAAGCCACACACCCAGGTTTGGATGATGTGCTAAGCCAAATCAGGGCTTAGCTGGCAGGAGTTTAGCAGGACCAGAGGAGAAACGAAGTGGGCACAATCTTGTCTCTGGGAGCCCATGGTTCTGCTAAGCCATGGTTTGCATTACATGCAAACTGAAGTAGTGTGTTGTATTCCATTCAGTTGTGCCCCATGGGAGACAGTTGCATTTGCAGAAGAAAAGAAAAATAAAAGGAGCAAACAATGGAGGCTCCAATGTTGATTGCATCTAAAGTTACTGTGTGCCTCTTTTAATTGCTCTTAATGCGCCATGGAGGGACGCGGGTGGCGCTGTGGGTTAAACCACAGAGCCTAGGACTTGCCGATCAGAAGGTCGGCGGTTTGAATCCCCGCGATGGGGTGAGCTCCCATTGCTCGGTCCCTGCTCCTGCCAACCTAGCAGTTCGAAAGCACGTCAAAGTGCAAGTAGATAAATAGGTACCGCTCGGGCGGGAAGGTAAACGGCGTTTCCGTGTGCTGCTCTGGTTTGCCAGAAGCGGCTTAGTCATGCTGGCCACGTGACCTGGAAGCTGTACGCCGGCTCCCTCGGCCAGTAAAGCGAGATGAGCACCACAACCCGAGAGTCGATCACGACTGGACCTAATGGTCAGGGGTCCCTTTACCTTTAATGCGCCATGGATGATCAATTTCAGGCCACAGTTTAACCGTAAATAAATGTTGCATGTTCTTTATTCCGGGGCAGTACAGTACTGGTACTCTAATTTGCCTGTCTGCTCAGCTGAAACATACCGTTGTTTTTGATGTGGAGCCTCTTAAATCCTTCCTCCCGGCTGTATTTCCCTTGTCTTCCTAGGAGCTAAAGAACAAGAAGCAGATCTATGAGAGCAGGATTCAAGAAATAGAGTCTCACCATCACCAGGAATTGGAGAGTAAGCTGTTGAATGCTCTCAAAGAGCTCAGACAGCAACACGAACAACAGATTTGCGCGTATAAAGATCAGGTGCAGCAAATCTTCAGTGCCAAAGTGAGTGGTTTGTCTGTCTATACTGCTGATTGGAATGGGATGTTTTGCTCTCCCATCATTCTTAGTAGAGACCTGATTTCTTCTTGCTTCCTATGGGCAGGTCCCGAATAGGAGTGGCACAATTAGAGGCTGCGTTTTCACTTGCTACCCTATGCTGACAGGATGTCTTCCAAATAGTGGAAGGGGAAAGCAAAGGAAAATCACTGGTCTTCTAAGAGCTGATGGGACAAAGGCATGTTGGCTCCTCTCAGTGGATTCAGTGGGACTTAATTCTGACTGGATGTGCATAGCTTGCTTTGTTAATGACCGTATTTTTTGCTCTATGACTCACTTTTTCCCTCCTAAAAAGTAAGGGGAAATGTGTGTGCATCTTATGGAGCGAATGCAGGCTGCGCAGCTATCCCAGAAGCCAGAACAGCGAGAGGGATTGCTGCTTTCACTGCATAGCGATCCCTCTTGCTGTTCTGGCTTCTGAGATTCAGAATATATTTTTTCTTGTTTTCCTCCTCCAAAAATTAGGTGCGTCTTGTGTTCTGGTGCGTCTTATACAGCGAAAAATACGGTATATGCTAAGATACCTTCCCCCAACCTGTTTCTAAGGGGATGCTGTATTTTGGTGAAACCCTGTTTGCCTCAGTTTCCCCAGCTCAGCATGTTACCTTCCCATTGTGTCCTCCTCTTGACCCCCTTGGATAATTCTCCTGCACACACCAGTTGCAGCCGATGCATTTATTTTTAATACTAATTTACGTATTGCCTAACCTTCACCTTAAGGTGAACACCTGGAAAAATATTGTAGAACATGCTGCCTAAAATGTGTTGGGGGAGGGGGGGCGTTATTGAGTTGTTTTTGTTTTTATTACGTATTTTGTGTTTTTATGTTGTGTTTTTATGTTGTAACTGCCCTGAGACCTGCAGGAATAGGGCAGTATGCATATTTAATAAATAATAATAAAAGTCATCTGAATTGGAAGGAATAAGGCCTAGAATTGTCTAATAATAATAATAATAATAATAATAATAATAATAAATATAATACATATGATATAATAAATATAGTAAAGGTAAAGGGACCTCTAACCATTAGGTCCAGTCATGGCTGACTCTGGGGTTGCGGCGCTCATCTTGCTTTATTGGCCGAGGGAGCCGGCATACAGCTTTCGGGTCATGTGGCCAGCATGACTAAGCTGCTTCTGGCAAACCAGAGCAGCGCACGGAAACGCCGTTTACCTTCCCGCCGGAGCAGTACCTATTTATCTACTTGAACTTTGAGGTGCTTTCGAACTGCTAGGTTGGCAGGAGCTGGGACCGAGCAACAGGAGCTCACCCCGTCGCAGGGATTCAAACCGCTGACCTTCTGATCGGCAAGTCCTAGGCTCTGTGGTTTAACTCTCAGCGCCACCTGCATCCCAATAAATATAGTAGTTCCCATTATTCCTCCCGAAGTAGCATAGGGTGGCAAACCTGTGTTAAATTGAACTGTTATTCATGTGTGTGCACAGAAACACGTTCAAATTAAAATGTGCAGTCCTGGTTAGCTTTTTCTTTTCTTTTTTAACCCAATACTATCTTCACAGATGGAAAACATTCAGCGTTCTGCGGCAAGGAGTAGTGATATCACCAAAGCTGCTGAGGAGGAGCTCAGAGAAGCCAAACTGAGAGTTGATTCTCTGATGTCACAGGTAAAACAGGGGCTGGAAACCAGGTAAAATGACGCCTACCTGGAGAGGGAAGAGGCTCTTAAAAGGTCTTTGGGAAATAGAGGTCTCTGCTAGTATGGCTGTGTTCCGCTGTGCCTAACAGCAAAACCTTTCTGTGAAATCTAAGGTTGCTACGTTAGAAGCCAGGAATGGGGATTTGGAGGCCAGAATAAACACGTTGGAGAACACCATTCTCGACAAACAAGGCTATTCGATGAGATGCCTAGCTGAGAAGGACAGGGAGATGGACAGAATGCATCAGCGTATGCAGGCACAGCTGGAGGAGCATGGGAAACTGTTGGAAATGAAGATGGGTCTGGATCTGGAGATTGGTGCATATCGGGCAATGCTAGAAGGAGAGGAACAACGGTGAGCTTGGTGGCAGAATTCTGTTCTTGAAAGGAGGCTTGCTTTTCTTTTTTAATAGAACAGGAGCTGAACTTCTTACCAGTATTGGCTCTCATGGGCAAAGGGCTCTTTAACTCCCTCCTGCCCAGTGTGAACAGCAAGAGGAGCTTTTCTACACCTTTTACTGTACATTTCAGCCACACTTTAATGCCCTCTAATGTGCCAGCTCCCCAAAACACAAGCAAGCTGGAATGAGCAGCTGATGTCCATAGTAAGTGGAGGGGCTATTCAAGAGGGAGCTGGTCTTCACCTTGGGGAGGAGGGGGTTAAAAAAGCCCTTTGCCCATGTCAACTCACATGGTTGAAAGCAACAGTGGTGCATTGAAATACAGTGGTACCTCAGGTTACATACGCTTCAGGTTACAGACTCCGCTAACCCAGAAATAGTGCTTCAGGTTAAGAACTTTGCTTTAGGAGGAGAACGGAAATCATGCTCTGGCGGCGCGGCGGCATCAGGAGGCCCCATTAGCTAAAGTGGTGCTTCAGGTTAAGAACAGTTTCAGGTTAAGAACAGACCTCTGGAACGAATTAAGTACTTAACCTGAGGTACCACTGTATACTCGGAGTCGAGAGTGGATTTCATGCTCTTTATTCAGCTCATAGTGGTGAGGAGGAATGGAAGTTCCCCCAGAATGTCTGCTTTATATACATTATTTACACAATGGGCCCCACGTGATTGGCTAATTCTGGGATTCGCCTGTAGCCCAATCAGGTTGCGGAGGGGGAAAGTGTGTCTTAAAGAGTGAAAAATATGGTATATATCAGTGTTTCCCAACCGGTGTTCCGCGGCACACTAGTGTGCCGCCGGACGTTGCCTAGTGTGCCGTGGGAGTAGTGGCGTAGCGTGGGGGGTGCCAGGGGTGCCAGTCGCACCGGGCGCAACATCTGCGGGGGGCGCGAGTCCAGAGGGAAGGGACAAGTTCCTTCCTCCGCCGGGCTCCCCGCCGCCACCGCCAGCCTTGCGCCCTAGCGCGCGCGCGCCCCCCGCCGCCGCTGCGGCTGCGCTCCACTCACTGCTCGCAGGAGGAGCAGCCACTGCAGCAGCGCTGACACCGCCACCGACGCCTGGCCGGGCACGGGCAGCCTCCGCACGCCGACGCCATCCCCTTCCCCCTTTTTTTCCAGAGCTGGGGGAGGGGGAGGTTTTAAAAGGGGGTCTTGCATTGGCGATCCTGCAGCACTTTGGGCCGCACGACGCGAGCGCGCAGCACGGATCAGCCACGACCCCACCCCGTGCATTTCCCGGGGAAAAGTGCTCCACGTGGGAGGCGCGTTTCCCCTTCATTCCCTCTCGTGCAAATCCTCCTTGGGTTCCCTCCCCCGTCTTTCCTCTCCCTACCTCACAAAAGCCTCACCTCGTCGCCTCCTCGCTGCCTCTCGCCTCCGCAGGAGCGTTTCCCTCCGCGGAAGAAGGAGCAGGGCGCTTTTGCAACTTTGCCTTCCCCGCCCCACCACGGAGCACATTTTCCTCGCCCCCCCAACCCCCGCATGTAGAATAGAAGCCCTCCAGCCTCCACGGTGCACAAACTCTCCCCTCTGCAACGAAGCGCTTTGTTGCATATCTTTGGTGAGGTTTTTAGGCAGTCTTGGTGCACCTTAAATCAGCGCTAATTGCGCCTGGACGCAGTATTTACTTCTGAGTAGGCCCCCTTCTCCCCCCCCCCCCATAGCACCTGACGTTGCTATTCGTATCATCAGGTTTGTTTGTTGATAATTTAATTGTTTTAAAAGCATCATGCTAAAGAGCTCTCTCCCACCCCCAGACCCTTGGGCAAAACAGAAACACACACATACACAAACAGAGATTGAGCCCTGCAGGTTTTATGAAATGAATGGATTCTGAATGCCTGTTTCAGTGGCTTGTCCGCCTTAGGCTGCTGGGCCAGACACCTGTTACACGGTGCAGTCCGTAAGCTGTGAGCGCTGCTACCTGCCGCCGAGACCACGTAACGACAGTCTTGAAAGACCTACATTGGCTCCCAGTACCTTTCCGAGCACAATTCAAAGTGTTGGTGCTGACCTTTAAAGCCCTAAGCGGTTTCGGTCCAGTATACCTGAAGTAGCGTCTCCGCCACCATCCTTCAGCCCAGACACTGAGATCCAGTGCCAAGGGCCTTCTGGCAATTCCCTCACTGTGAAAAGTGAGGTTACAGGGAACCAGGCAGAGGGCCTTCTCGGTAGTGGCGCCCGCCCTGTGGAATGCCCTCCCATCAGACATCAAAGAGATAACCATTACCTTCTATGCTGTTACTATTTTTTTATTTTTTTTTACATAAGTAAAAAGTGACCTTTCCCCATCTGGCATGGTGGTGTGCCTCGAGATTTTTTTCATGAAACAAGTGTGCCTTTGCCCAAAAAAGGTTGGGAAACACTGGTATATATTATCTCCAGTATCTGAGGCCCTGTCCCTCTGAATACCAGTTGCTGGGGAACAACAGCGCGAAAGGGCTCTTGCCATCAGTTCCCGCTTGTGAGCTCCCTACAGGCACCTCGATCGCCACTGTGGGGAGTTTGGTTCAGGGGCCAAGTTAGACCAGAAAGACCTTTCTTGACTATCATGGTTTGTCAGGGGCTTTAAAACAAGGCGTTCCCTTGAGCGAAGATGCAAATAATGGATTTGATCGTTAACCACCTTGCAGAGCTTTGCCTCTGCTTCCTAGCAAAGTAAATGATTTTCTGGCTGGGCTGCCTTGCAGGAACGTTGGGCTGTGAAAATGCCACTCAGAGCTCCCTGGCGGAAGGGCAAGATACAAAAGCAACTCAACAAGTCATCTGTATTGGTGTCCTCCTCTCTTGCCCTTCTGATCCTGCAGCAGCCTGTTATGTGAGACCGGAGAAAATGCGCCATGTGATGATCTCACAGCACAGGGGAGTGTGGCTAACCTTACAGGGGGGGTTCCACTTTGCGGGGAGGGCAGCCTTGTGCCAAAGGTAATAATAATAATAATAATTAATAATCATATATTATTTGTACCCCGCCCATCTGGCTGGGTTTCCCCAGCCACTCTGGGAGGCTTCCAACAAAGATGAAAAATACACTAAAATGTCACATATTAAAAACTTTCCTGAACAGGGCTGCCTTCAGATGTCCTCTGAATGTCAGGTAGTTGTTTATCGCTTTGACATCTGATGGGAGGGCGTTCCACAGGGCGGGCGCCACTACCGAGAAGGCCCTCTGCCTGGTTCCCTGTAACTTGGCTTCTTGCAGTGAGTGAACCGCCAGAAGGCCCTCAGAGCTGGACCTCAGTGTCCGGGCAGAACGATGGGGGAGGAGACGCTCCTTCAGATATACTGGACCGAGGCCATTTAGGGCTTTAAAGGTCAGCACCAACACTTTGAATTGTGCTCGGAAACGTACTGGGAGCCAATGTAGGTCTTTCAAGACCGGTGTTATATGGTCTCGGCGGCCGCTCCCAGTCACCAGTCTAGCTGCCGCATTCTGGATTAGTTGTAGTTTCCGGGTCACCTTCAAAGGTAGCCTCACGTAGAGCGCATTGCAGTAGTCCAAGCGGGAGATAACCAGAGCATGCACCACTCTGGTGAGACAGTCCGCAGGCAGATAGGGTCTCAGCCTACGTACCAGATGGAGCTGGTAAACAGCTGCCCTGGATACAGATTTGACCTGTGCCTCCATGGACAGCTGTGAGTCCAAAATGACTCCCAGGCTGCGCACTTGGTCCTTCAGGGGCACAGTTACCCCATTCAGGACCAGGGAATCCTCCACACCTGCCCGCCTCCTGTCCCCCAAAAACAGTACTTCTGTCTTGTCAGAATTCAACCTCAATCTGTTAGCCGCCATCCATCCTCCAACCGCCTCCAGACACTCACACAGGACCTTCACTGCCTTCACTGGTTCTGATTTAAAAGAGAGGTAGAGCTGGGTATCATCCGCATACTGATGAACACCCAGCCCAAACCTCCTGATGATCTCTCCCAGTGGCTGCATGTAAATGTTGAAAAGCATGGGGGAGAGGACAGAACCTTGAGGCACCCCACAAGTGAGAGCCCAGGGGTCTGAACACTCATCCCCCACCACCACTGGTGGTTATGTGTAAGCTCCATTCTTAGGGACCTCCCTGTTATCTCTTGGATGACACAGATTTGACTTCATGACACATGGTGGTGGTGGTGTTGTTTAGTCGTGTCCGACTCTTTGTGACCCCATGGACCAGAGCACGTCAGGCACTCCTGTCTTCCACTGCCTCCCATAGTTTGCTCAAACACATGCTGGTAGCTTCGAGAACACTGTCCAACCATCTTGTCCTCTCTCGTCCCCTTCTCCTTGTGCCCTCCATCTTTCCCAACATCAGGGTCTTTTCCAGGGAGTCTTCTCTTCCCATGAGGTGGCCAAATTATTGGAGCTTCAGCTTCAGGATCTGTCCTTCCAGTGAGCACTCAGGGCTGATTTCCTTCAGAATGGATAGGTTTGATCTTCTTGCAGTCCATGGGACTCTCAAGAGTCTCCTCCAGCACCATAATTCAAAAGCATCAATTCTTCGACGATCAGCCTTCTTTACGGTCCCCCTCTCACATCCATACATCACTAGACACCACAGAAATGGCCCAATGTCAAGAGCAAAGAGATGGAGATAGGGTGTTCTGCCACCAGTGGCTGCCTAATTTGAAAGGTGACTTTGTTTTTTAGGTTAAAAAACAGGCCCGGCTCGGAAAGTGTTGGAACACTGGAAACCACTAGTCTGGGCAGCCCCGTCCTCCCACGAAGGAGAAGGAGGAAGAGGGCACTTTCAGAAAGCCAAGTCCACAGCGTTTGCTTCAAAACGGTCCAGCATGCATCATCTTCAGGAAGTATTTCCATAGAACATATTGACAAAGAAGGACAATTTGTCAAAATCAGAAACAATTCTGATCAGGTATTTTTTACATGATTTAACTCCTTGGGGCGAATGCATGGCTAGTGTTGCTGGCAAATTTGTGTTCCCCCAAAACTGGGTGCCATTTCTCTACAAACCAGCTCTGGGTTTGACCCCCTGCTTGACCCTCCCCACACTGATCTGCCTCTAAATTTCCCACCTGTAACTTCCTTGCCACTTTTATTTTCTCTCCCCCGCCCCACCCTTCACCTAGTTTTAGACTAGTACAGTGGTACCTCGGGTTACAGACGTTTCAGGTTACAGACGCTTCAGGTTACAGACTCCGCTAACCCAGAAATAATGCTTCAGGTTAAGAACTTTGCTTCAGGATGAGAACAGAAATTGGGCTCCGGCAGCACTGCAGCAGCAGGAGGCCCCATTAGCTAAAGTGGTGCTTCAGGTTAAGAACAGTTTCAGGTTAAGAACGGACCTCCGGAACGAATTAAGTACTTAACCCGAGGTACCACTGTGCTTGATGTGAACATGGATCTGGAATCCGCCTGGGGGTGGGTGGAACAGAAGTTGCCCAGGAAATAATAATAATAATAATAATAATAATAATAATAATAATAATAATAACAACAACAACTTATTTATACCCTGCCCTCCCCAGCCAAGACCAGGCTCAGGGCGGCTAACAACCAATAATAAAAACAAGTTGATTAAAATACAATTTAAAAGATTAAGATGCAACATTAAAACATTAGTATACAGTCTCTTCATAGGAGGAGAAAGGAAAATGAAAGGGGGGGAGGGAATCAAACTGATCCTAAGCCAAAGGCCAGGTGGAACAACTCTGTCTTACAGGCCCTGCGGGAAGAAATCAGATCCCTGGTCTTATGAGACAGAGCATTCCACCAAGCCGGAGCCAGTGTTGAGAAGGCCCTGGCTCTGGTTGAGGCTAATCTAACTTCCTTAGGGCCCGGGACCTCTAGGGTGTTGCTATATATGGACCCTTAAGGTCCTCCGTGGGGCATACCGGGAGAGGCGGTCCCATAGGTATGAGGGTCCTAGGCCTATGATTAAATATACTTGATGGTCCCTTCCTACAAACAGCCTATTCCTAACATTTCTTTGCAGTTTCCAAGGTTCCTGAGAGAAAAGGGAGGTGACGATAGATAAGCTTCCTCAGGACGCTTTAATCCGCTTTAATTGCACAAACCTCAATATCCCAGTATACGCTTGAACTCCTCCCAGAAAATAATGAGACTGGAGGCTCTTAAAAGGCAAAAAGTCTAAAACTGTTAAGCACTGCTTTCCTTGTAGGAGCAGTCACTAAGTGGGTGGACCACAAGAAGGCAGCATGGAAACCAGTCTGAAATAATGTACGAGTTTCCTGCTCGATGTACCCTTGGGGCTGGTCAAGTACTTACAGTGAGTGAAAATCTTCTCTTCTTCTCCTCTAAACCTTAAAATGTCAGTGTTTTACTTTGCTTACCCTTGTAAGAATATCAAACACACCACCTAATAAAGGCCCTGAAACTGGCTAAGTAACCTAGAGGGATAAAATACCGGCTTGTAAACTCTACAGTGGGACGCGGGTGGCGCTGTGGGTTAAACCACAGAGCCTAGGACTTGCTGATCAGAAGGTCGGTGGTTCGAATCCCCGCGACAGGGTGAGCTCCCGTTGCTCGGTCCCTACTCCTGCCAACCTAGCAGTTCGAAAGCACACCAGTGCAAGTAGATAAATAGGAACCGCTCCAGCGGGAAGGTAAACTGCGTTTCTGTGCGCTGCTCTGGTTCACCAGAAGCGGCTTAGTCATGCTGGCCACATGACCCGGAAGCTGTCTGCGGACAAACGCCGGCTCCCTCAGCCCATAGAGCGAGATGAGCGCCGCAACCCCAGAGTCGGTCATGACTGGACCTAATGGTCAGGGGTACCTTTACCTTTATACTCTACAGTGTTTTGGACTTGCTTAAAACAATATTGTACTGTGCCATTTATGTACATGGCATTATGTACATGGCATTTTCCTGAAGAAGAGGTCTGGCAGATCTTTGGCCTATGGGGCTTATAAAGAGGGAGGGATTTGAAAGAAGCAAGGGAGGTGGTCTCATGGAGAAGTTCTGGGACTGGAGGCAGTTGAAAGATGGCCGACAAGGGACAACAGGTGAAGCTTTTCTAAGTAATATGGTGGGAAGCAGGCTCGGAAAAACTGTTTTAAATTCCTTCTGCCAGCCTTAAGTTTTGGGAGGCAATATTGGATGATACACCTCCCAGAACCAAATTCCGGGGGGGGGGGGGGAATCCACCTGGAATTATAGGCATTGTGTTGATAGTTTGGTTATATATCCATTCAATGCCTGCTGATTCATTAGAGATGGATATTGAAAACCACAAAACCCAGTTGTTTTAATTTCTGTGGTCCTGATCCAGTTCTGGTGCATGCAAATAGTGGCTCCAGTTGGAGATACCTATCCATATCTTCAATATAATTCCAACAGCGAGTTCATTGGGACCAGATGTATATAAATTTCAAGTACAATCCTTTCCCTTTGGGGGAACAATGATGGTGTTTACACTTGCTTCCACAAAGGTAAAATTGAATTCCTGTTGTAACAGTCTTCTCCATTCCACTTGATCAATATAGCTAGTGGTTTTAGTACAAAAAAGTAAAATATACATTTTCTTAAATAACTACAAATTAAGACTACATCTATAGTATACTAGCGTGGATCTGTGGTTTGGTTCCATATCAATGCACAGTTAAGTTCAAACATAGTTGCTAAAATAACTATAAATACAAAATAAGTATCACACACAGGAACTAAAAAGCATATAGAACTTTTCTTGCAGAAATACAAATTATTCAATGTGCTAATATGAATGGAAGTTAAAAACATTGTAGCTGTTGTATAATGGATTATGATTAAGATTGAAATGTAATTGGATTAAATAAGATTTTGGAAGCAAAATTAATTTATCTTGCCTTGAAATCTAGCACACAGGAGGCCACCTAAAAAGTATAATTGGCTTATCAATTGGTTTATTTTTGAATTGTAATTGTAATTTGGTAATGTTAGAATGTGACTTATTGGATACATGTAATTGAAAGCTAATAAAAATTATTTACAACAACAACAAAAGTTTGAACATAGTTGTTGATCCAGTCATGTTGCTGTAATCAATATTGTCAGAATGCCATTATCTCTGCCTGGCATTTGATGCCACAGATTTCTTCCCACAATTGTCTTTTGTTACAGGCTGACATCACTTGCACAGCCCAGTTTGTAGAGAACTTACAAGAATCTCATCCCAGGGTTGATGTTGCAATGAATCTGACTGGTGGGTGGGGAAGCATTGGACAATTCCCTGTGCAAAGGTGCTCTTTAACCATTCAAATATGAAGATCATCTTTTTTCTTTGAAGATCTGGGTGTGACAGAAAGTTCAAGCCCAGCTCCTGGTATGCTTGTCTGGAAGTCCCCCAAGTCAATGAGAGGTGGAGACAGCTTTAGGATTGTACTTTTTGACTCTGCTGGAAACGTAAGTACCATACTAACATGTCCTTGCTACAATTTGATATTGTTCTTGAGTTGTATATCAGCCTTGTAAATAAGCCCACAAGTTAGTAGCCTGGGTCCCCCCCCCTCCAATCTACTGTTGTCTGGCAGAGGAAATACACAACTCGGTTCCTCCAGTGGCACCGTCCTGTATTTCTGTCCTGGGTGCAGAGGAAGAATGAAACACCAGCCTAGAATCCCATGTACTCGTCTGCCTGCAATTCCTTGTTGCCTATGGCTATTTAACTGCTTAAATATATCTCTGGTTTTGCATGATTTGCCATGTTTGATGAAGAAGGGCTTCTACCTTCTGCATCAAGCAAACTCCTTTTTGTTCCCTCTTTTACAATCTGTGTGTTTATTTGTACATAGCCCTTCACCAAATGGTCCCAGAGCAGATTGCAAAAAGTGTACACTTGACAAAATTAAAATTTACATTGAAAATTTATGTAGTAGAAGCACAAAACAGCAGTGCACAGCGTTTAGTATTTTTTGTTCTTTAGAAAAGTGGCAGAAACAGAATAATAATGTGTTTCTCTGACATTTTATGGTTATTTTCCATAGCTTGGTAAGTTTTCCGTTTCCTTTTTTTTTAACAATTCTTTAATGTGGTCTTCATTCAGATGCTTGCTGGTGTTTTATTCTTGTGTCCAGAGAATGATAGTTATTGTGCGCCTAATGAATTCTGTAAACAAATTACCTTGCAGCAAATGGCAGAAGGAAAGCTCACTTACGTAGATAGAGGAGAAGGTGGTGGAGAAATGGAGGTGGCTGCTGGGGAAGAAGGAATGGAGCGTCATATTCAGGCAGGTCTCCTACGTGAACTCCAAAACTGAGAAATGCCAAATACTTGTATTCGTATCCGGCTGAGTTGAGCTGTTGCTGCTGCTTTTTAAAATAGTCAGTTGATGCAAAGCACAGTAGTGGTTAGCTGCACAGTGCACTTGTTTCTCCTGACATGCCACATAGATGCTGTTTTTTGGGATGGCAATCTTGTAAACGTTTACAGATAACTGAAGAACCAGGGTTGTTGCTTTGGCTCCAGCCTAGCTGTAACATTGACCTAGCTTAGCGAGAGAAGCGCTTACCATTCTCAAAAGAGTTTTCTGGGCCTGAATGCACAGCAGAACTGCCGTTTTTAGGTCTAATCTCATGGCACATCTTATGAAGCAAATGTTCGTCTCTTTCCCTCCTCCTTGCCCGCCCTCTCTCCAGCGAAATGAAAGTCGAACCTGCCTCATAATATAGCCGAGAGAAGATGGTGAGCATCTGTGGAAGCTTCCTCCAGCCAAAATGATGGTCTACGTATATGAAAGTAACAACCTACAGAAAGAGACTCTGTTCAGCGTAGAGCCTTACTTCAACTGAAGACTCTCTAAATGGGACAGGGCAATGGTGGAGGAACCCAGATTGGAGGAACCACCAAACCCAAAGTCCTTGTCCTGGCAGGGTGGAAGTTTTTGGGAGGGTCATCACCTCCATTTAGTTTTGTTCCAGTTGAGGCCAGTGAGAAGAGAAGGCTTCTAAGTATAGCAGAGCCAGGGCTGGTGTACTTCTTCTCCCCCAATTCCAGAGTTATAGGGAGGGGGACGGAATTCACTGACGTACCTTGTAGTTCCTCCAGGTTTCCTTCTCCACTGTCTGAGCTCTGTCAGAGGGTCAGCTGCAAAGAGTGTACCCTCTGTGAGTAGCCCTCCTGCTCCTTCCCAGGGACCCAAGAATTATTTATCTATACCATCTTGCTCATCACAATGAGTGAAAAGACACAGTTTCAGTTTATTTCTTTACAAATTATGAACTGCAAATTATTAAAAGCCAAATTATTAACTGCACTGTAATCAGAGTGATTTCTTCCCAACTCTGTAGTGTCAACTCCTGGAGTTAGCAGACTTGTTGAAGTCAGCTGTAAGATGAAGAGCAGACTCAAATATGTTTAGATTTGCTTTGTGTGGTATGGAAGTCCCTGTACAGACAAATATTGGAATCCAATATTAACATATGTACAGTGGTACCTCGCAAGACGAATGCCTCGCAAGACGGAAAACTCGCAAGATGAAAGGGTTTTTTGTTTTTTGAGCTGCTTCGCAAGACGATTTTCCCTATGGGCTTGCTTCGCAAGACGGAAACGTCTTGCAAGTTTGTTTCCTTTTTCTTAACACCGTTAATACAGTTGCGACTTGACTTCGAGGAGCAACTCATAGCACGCGGTGTGGTAGCCTTTTTTGAGGTTTTTGAAGACTTTGGTGATTTTTGAAGCTTTTCCAAAACTTTTCCGACCCCGTGCTTCGCAAGACGAAAAGAATCGCAAGACGACAAAACTCGCGGAACGAATTAATTTCGTCTTGCGAGGCACCACAGTAATACCTTAAACTGTGGGCAGTAAACTTGATTGAGGCTGTGTAAGGGCATCTTATGTAAATGAACAGGGGTGCTACATACACCCACACGCAGCAGCATATCTGCCCTGTGTACCCCCTCCCCCAACTGCTTCTCTCAATTAACTAAATACACTGTCTTCCCTTTAGAGTTATTTCTCAATGGCTCCTCTGGACCACCTGCCTCAGTCTCTCATCTCTCTTCCCTCCAGCACTGCAGCAACAGTTCTCAGAACATAACATCACCATCATTTGGCTGTTACCACACTGTGTTTGCTTGGCTGCAAACTGCTGCATGACGACAGCCTTACCTTTTTATTATATGCAAGATATAAACACACAGAATAACTCTTCTCTGACCTGCCTTTTGCTTGTTTTATTATAAATATAGCAAATGGGGGGGGGGGAAGATTAGTAGAGCATGAACAACTGATGCAAGGCTGCGTGTGTTCAGAAAAGGTCACAGCTGGGGCACCATTGAGGTCAACTGGGATTCCCTTTCAGCAATAATGCCAAATCAAGGGGAATAGCTATAGCCCAGCAGATTGTTAGACTCCATCCCTAACCCTGGGGTGGGGGTTGGAATGAAGAGAAGGGGAAGCAAAAGCTCAAGTAACATAGTGGAAACCAGTACAGTATTATGAGAGGTAAATCTGTATATACACCTAACCGCCCCTGCAAAGTGACTGAGCAGATTAAAATAAATAATAATAATAATAATAATAATAATAATAATAATAATAATAATAATAAATTAATTATACCCTGCCCATCTGGCTGGGTTTCCCCAGCCACTCTGGGTGGCGCCCAACAAAATATCAAAAATACAATAAAACATCAAATATTAAAAACTTCCCTAAACTGGGTTGCCTTCAGATGTCTTCTAAAAGTCAGATAGTTGTTTATTTCCTTGACATCTGATGGGAGGGCATTCCACAGGGCAGGCGCCATTACCGAGAAGACCCTCTGCATGGTTCCCTGTAACCTCACTTCTCGTAGTGAGGGCACCACCAGAAGGCCCTCAAAGCTGGACCTCAGTGTCTAGGCTGAACGATGAGGGTGGAGACACTCCTTCAGGTATACTGGGCCGAGGCCGTTTAGGGCTTTAAAGGTCAGCGCCAACACTTTGAATTGTGCTCGGAAACGTACTGGGAGCCAACGAAGATCTTTCAGGTCTGGTGTTATATGGTCTCGGTGGCCACTCCCAGTCACCAGTCTAGCTGCTGCATTCTGGATTAACTGCAGTTCCGAGTCACCTTCAAAGGTAGCCCCACATAGAGCACATTGCAGTAGTCCAAGCGGGAGATTTAACTAGAGCATGCACCACTCTAGCAAGACAGTCTGCGAGCAGGTAGGGTCTCAGCCTGCGTACCAGGTGGAGCTGGTAGACAGCTGCCTTGGACACAGAATTAACCTGCGCCTCCATGGACAGCTGTGAGTCCAAAATAACTCCCAGGCTGCGCACCTGGTCCTTCAGGGGTACAGTTACCCCATTCAGGATCAGGGAGTCCTCCACACCAGCCTGCCCCCTGTCCCCCAAAAACAGTACTTCTGTCTTGTCAGGATTCAACCTCAATCCATTACAGATATTCAATATTGGGCTATACTACAAAAAGACTGAGGGTTGTAGGTAATAAAAGCTATGAATTGAACTTGATATGCCCTGCAACACAAACTGAAGTAGGAAATAGCATCCAACTCAACTAGTAGATGCCAATTATGAATACAATATACAATGAAACAGGAGCTGAGTTTACGTAACCACAAAAGCCACCCGTTCTCACTGTTTCTGCAATATATTTAATTTCAGTGAGCAAGACTCTCCTGGCTTCAGCAGAGAGGGAGAGCTGCGCAGCGCCCCTTCAGCCAAGCGGGAGGAGAAATGGAAAGGGCTCCATTTCTCCTGCCGCTTCGCTGAAGGAGCGCTGAGCAGAGAGGGGGAGATTTTTTTTTCTTGTTCTCCCCCTCTAAAACACGGTGCGTCCTATAGAGCGAAAAATACGGTATGTTTTAACTTTTTCCTAACAGCATCTTAGGAAACTGAAGTACAGTTACATGTGGATTATAGACCTCAGAAATTATTGGCAACTAGAACCAGAACGCCACAAGTTCCAAGACACAGTAAATGCACATTTCCCACAACAGTGTTTATTACATTTGGTCAATGGAGAATCAATTTAGATGTGACATTGACTTGGCTTTTTTGTTCGGGTACAGTGCACAACAGGTATTAGCTTTTCACAGTTAAGTCAAATGTAACAAAGGTAGCTCACTGAGAACTAGCTCTTACTCACAGCAGCTTCAAAAATTGTGCCCACGAGTAAATTCACTGCAGGTAAATGGAAGTTTCCGACATCATGCGAGGAAATAAATGCACTTGGGAAGCAACAGTTGATCTATCAGTAAACGTGTACAGATCTTCAAGGCACAAAGCAAGGAATTAGGTCAGGGAAATCTGTGTGTGTTTATTTAACAAAAGGGGAGGATTTTTTTATACGATATATATATATATATGTACAAACTACATGAATACAAAATAAATACTTTTTTTTTTTAAGACACATACAAAAAAGTCAGTAAGTTGGTCAAAAGAACAAGGCTTTCGTAGAATGCCACACAAATGAAAAGCCACTTTGGGGGGAAAGACTTCTTTTCACTCACGGAAATGCATTTGTGACGTGAGAATGGCAGGCTCACTGAGGCAACGGCACCACAACCTCCACGTAATTGATGGGGAAGAAGCCTGATTCGCCATTCAACATGCCTTCGAACCAGTTCTCATCGATCTGATTGGTCAGCGTGATGACGTCGCCTTCCTTAAATCCAAGCTCGCCTTCGTTTTCTGGCTCAAAGTCATATAAAGCTTGGCAGCAAGGCTGGTCCATATGTGATGAAGAACCTGCCCAGAGTCACACGAGAGAGCAATTTTTAACCTGACGCTCTGTAGGTTTTGCCCAAGATTATTCATGACCAATTAAAATAAAATTAACCCATTGCTGTAGTATTATTATGCCGACTCGGCGGAAGGCTACTTCCTATGTTCATAGCAAGTCAATGTAGGAAGCTGAGTTATACCAAATCGGACCCATCGGTTCAATTAACTCAGTACTGTCTACTCCGATTGGCAGCAGCTCTCCAAGATTTCAGGCAGGAGTCTCTCCCAATACCTTAAGGATCACCTCTCCCCATATGAACCGACCCAGACTCTCTGCATGTCATCTGACGCCCGTCTCTATGTCCTCCATCCCAGAGAGGTTTGGAGGGTGGCCACAAGAGAGCCAGTGTGGTGCACTGGTTAAGAGCGGTAGACTCGTAATCTGGTGAACCGGGTTCGCGTCTCCGCCCCTCCACATGCAGCTGCTGGGTGACCTTGGGCCAGTCACACTTCTCTGAAGTCTCTCAGCCTCACTCACCTCACAGAGTGTTTGTTGTGGGGGAGGAAGGGAAAAGGAGATTGTTAGCCACTTTGAGACTCCTTAGGGTAGTGATAAAGTGGGATATCAAATCCCCCAAAAAGAGAATGTGTCTTTTCTGGGATGGCTCCCCGATTGTGGAACGTTCTCCCCAGAGAGGCTGGCCTGCCACCATCATTACACATTGTCAGGTGTTGTTGCGGTTGCTCAAGAGTAACCAGGCAGGACTCTAATCTGTCTTTTACAGGTTTTATTTTGGTGCAAACTATTTACAGTGAAGGACGCGGGTGGCGCTGTGGGTTAAACCACAGAGCCTAGGACTTGCCAATCAGAAGGTCGGCGGTTTGAATCCCCGCGACAGGGTGAGCTCCCGTTGCTCAGTCCCTGCTCCTGCCAACCTAGCAGTTCGAAAGCACCTCAAAGTGCAAGTAGATAAATGGGAAGGTAAACAGCGTTTCCGTGAGCTGCTCTGGTTCGCCAAAAGCGGCTTAGTCATGCTGGCCACATGACCCGGAAGCTGTACACCGGCTCCCTCGGCCAATAAAGCAAGATGAGCGCCACAACCCCAGAGTCGGTCCTAATGGTCAGGGGTCCCTTTACCTTTACTATTTACAGTGAAGAGCGTGATAATTTGATGTCTGGCTCAATCGCTAGCAGAATCCGGGAGTGGTCTGTTTTTGTACCTCCCCCAACATAAAAGTTTCATCACCGCCAGCCTTTTCCGCCTCTCCCTGCGCCGCAGACCACTGCGCATGATGGGCCAGTAGTAGCAAGGGCGTGCTTCCCTCCTCTCTGGCTGGCTCAGGCGCAGTGTTAAGGCTCTTACTAGCATCCTCTGGTCCTTGCACCTCCTCTCCACTGGAGGTGGGGCTTTCCTCCTCGCCGCAAGAGGAACTGCTTCACAAGATTTTCGGGGGCTCCCTGTAACACAACGGCCCATCTATCTCTCGCCTCTGAGCCGATGGCAGTTCCCTGACACACGTCTTTAGGCACCAGGCAAAAACATTCCTCATTACCCAGGCCTATGGCTATTAAATAA